TGTTTGGCTGCTAAATGCATGTCTTTAACAATCTTAGACATTTATAAGACTGACATAACCTATGTACATTTTTTAAATGATGCAGTGATTTTCAATAAGATGCTTCAGAATGATTTGTTTTTACAATGTGTTTATCCAGCTAAATTCATGGAGAAATCAATAATTTAACCTGAGAGAAAGCAAGAAAGTAAGAAAGAGAGAAAAATCTTCTTTCACTTGCCATTGTTTAGGCTGTTGCAAAGCTGGAGGTCAATAAAGAGGGATGTTGCTATTCCCACAACCTTCACATCCATTAGCAGTGTAATGGGAGATAGGATCTCTGTCTCTGTGTGTCTGCCCTTCATTCCCACTTCTTATGAGTGTGTGGAGTCTCTCTACAAGGTGCCTGTCTCAGCCCCACCCTGTTTGGCTGCTAAATGCATGTCTTTAACAGTCTTAGACATTTATAAGACTGACATAACCTATGTACATTTTTTAAATGATGCAGTGATTTTCAATAAGATGCTTCAGAATGATTTGTTTTTACAATGTGTTTATCCAGCTAAATTCATGGAGAAATCCGGGTGGTGTGTTTGGGATCATTGTCATGCTGAAAGACCCAGCCACGTTTCATCTTCAGTGCCCTTGCTGATGGAAGGAGGTTTTCACTCAAAATCTCACGATATATGGCCCCATTCATTCTTTCGTTTACACGGATCAGTCGTTCTGGTCCCTTTGCAGAAAAACAGCCCCAAAGCATGATGTTTCCACCCCCATGCTTCACAGTAGGTATGGTGTTCTTTGGATGCAACTCAGCATTCTTTCTCCTCCAAACACGACAAGTTGAGTTTTTACCATAAAGTTTTATTTTGGTTTCATCTGACCATATGACATTCTCCCAATCTTCTTCTGGATCATCCAAATGCTCTCTAGCAAACTTCAGACGGGCCTGGACATGTACTGGCTTAAGCAGGGGGACATGTCTGGCACTGCAGGATTTGAGTCCCTGGCGGTGCAGTGTGTTACTGATGGTAGCCTTTGTTACTTTGGTCCCAGCTCTCTGCAGGTCATTCACTAGGTCCCCCCGTGTGGTTGTGGGATTTTTGCTCACAGTTCTTGTGATCATTTTGACCCCACGGGGTGAGATCTTGCGTGGAGCCCCATATCGAGGGAGATTATCAGTGGTCTTGTATGTCTTCCATTTTCTAATAATTGCTCCCACAGTTGATTTCTTCACACCAAGCTGCTTACCTATTGCAGATTCAGTCTTCCCATCCTGGTGCAGGTCTACAGTTTTGTTTCTGGTGTCCTTTGACAGCTCTTTGGTCTTGGCCATGGTGGAGTTTGGAGTGTGACTGTTTGAGGTTGTGGACAGGTGTCTTTTATACTGATAACAAGTTCAAACAGATGCCATTAATACAGGTAACGAGTGGAGGACAGAGGAGCCTCTTAAAGAAGAAGTTACAGGTCTGTGAGAGCCAGAAATCTTGCTTGTTTGTAGGTGACCAAATACTTATTTTACCGAGGAATTTACCAATTAATTCTTTAAAAATCCTACAATGTGATTTTCTGGATTTTTTTTTCTCATTTTGTCTCTCATAGTTGAGGTATACCTATGATGAAAATTACAGGCCTCTCTCATCTTTTTAAGTGGGAGAACTTGCACAATTGGTGGCTGACTAAATACTTTTTTGCCCCACTGTATCTATGCTGAGCTAAGGTAAATGAGTTTTTGTCATAATACAACAAATGCTGTTTGTCAAAAACTTAACATCAGATCTTAAGGGAGGAGTGTTCCTGTGTAGGAAAAGGGTTTGATGTTTCATAGCCATTAGTTCTGCAGAGGTCATTGGTTTATTGATATCTGCTTCACAGTTCACTACTGCCCAGGCTAATATTTCAGTCAGTTTGCATAATCTCTTTTTTTAAACATATTATTATTATTACAGACATTGAATTTAACACAATAGCTTTATTTCTAAACCTAGCGAATAGCTTCTCTTCTTAGATAGACAGCTGACTTCTAAGCAAGCATAATGATCATCACAGAATCATCACTCACATGTGATCAATTTTAAAACATGCCTAATCTTAAAATGCTGACGATATAGGTGGAATAGAGCAGGGCTCTTCAACTCCAGTCCTGGAAGGCCAGTGTCCTGCAGACATTAGTACAATCCCAGTTTAACCCACCTATCTAATTTTCAGGTCATTCTGAACACCTTTATTAGTTCATTCAGATGTGTTTAGTTTGGATTAGAGCTAAACTCAGCAGGACACTGGCCCTCCAGGATTGGAGTTGAAGAGCCCTGAAATGGAGTGTATATTTGTGCGTAGCATCCTTTTTAAATGTTTGTATCTTACGTCTTGTTCTCTCTCAGATGATGGTGAGGCTCGCTGCAGAGAGCTGCATCAGCGCTGTGAGGAGCTGGAGTCTCAGCTGAAGGCTAAAGAGCTGGAAAACACGGAGCTCCTGCGAGATCTGGAGCAGAAGAACGCCATGATCTCGGTGTTGGAGAACACCATCCGTGAGCGAGAGAAGAAGTACCTGGATGAACTAAAGTTGAAGAGCCATAAGTTGGCTGTGCTGTCTGGAGAGCTGGAGCAGAGAGCCAGCGCCATTGCCTACCTCACCTCCCAGCTCCACGCTACCAAAAAACGCCTTCTCGCTGGGGGCGCGGCGAGTATAAGCCCCTCCGTCAGCCCCGTCAGCTCTTTGAAACCCACCCCTCCTCCCGTTCCTGCTGCGTCGGGAAACGACAAAGACGTCCAGCAACCCGAGACCCCTCGCAGGCGCATGCGCAAAAGTCTTTCGCAGCCGCTGCACTCTGAATACACAGAGCTGTACCGGTTGGGCGCCGCAGATGGCCGCAGGGTGGTACTGAGGGATTCGGTAGATGCCATGCCAGATCCCACACCATTCCTGCAAGCCAGAGAGCCCGCGGCCCCCGTAGAGTCTCAGCCGGTGCTGCGGGAACGCCCCTCTGTAATCCCACCCATTTCTTCTTCAGCCACACCCCCTGGATCATTAAGCCCCGCCCACACCCCAGTGCCCCCGGGTCCCAGGAATAGCCCAGCACAGGAGGGACCCCATGCCCGTGCTAACGTGCATATAGGAGTGGCGCATCGGATCCACCGTTCGCCCTCAGCAGGTGGAGGTGCAGCCCGAAAACAGGCGGAAGTGGAGACCCTCGCGGTGGACCATGGGGAGCAGGTGGTTCGCAAACGCTCAGGTGCAGACAGAACTGTTTAAGACTGACAAATGGCATCTTAAAATAGATAGTATATAAATATAGACGTATTAAAACCAATGCAGTATATGCAGAAATCTTCATGACTGTGAAAACACACAAACATGGATACAGATGCTCAAATCATCAACATATCACAAACAACCTAGTCAATAAACGCATAAAACACAAACACACACTACAGATTTAAACAACTTACAAACACAATAGCACAGCACAACCCTGGGATATGCTGAACAACACACACTGGCGAGTGATTTAGGCAAAGACTGTGTTTGTGAGTGTCAGAGAATATGTGTGTGTTTTAAAGGGAAAGATGGAAAGTCTAAGGATGGCAGCGAGAGCTTCTGTATGTCCTGCTGCTTTTTATGCAACACTGTATAAACTAAAATAAGATGTAAAAGACTTTTGTTCATGGTCATTTGAATAACTACTTTGTCTCACGTCGGTTGAGAAGAACTGTGAGCATGCCAAATGTTTGTTTTTCTTTCCCATTTGAATTTCAGCATCTTCTTTACGCTTACTGTTCTTCTCGTCATTGATGTCCCGCTCCGTTTGACTCAAGGTGCAAACACACACTCATATATTGCCAAATCTCATCATTGCCTGCTGATTTAATGTTCTAATGCATATTCATATATACTCATATTTATTCATGAGCACTGCAGTAGTACTGGATTCTCCACTCTCCTTCAACTCTCCTTCCCCTTTCATTCACATATCTACAGGCTAATGTGAACAATCCTGCTTTTCCTTATTAAAGACCTACAGAAATCAAAGGTCTCAAAGAGGTCACTTCAGTTTATAGTCATGTTTTGCTTGCTTTTATTAATAACATTCAACATATACAGTATATATATATAAAATAAGTTAAAGATGTGTTATACATTGTTTAAGATGGAGCTACAATAATATATCGGGGAAGGAAATTCCTCCTGCCTACTTCTAAACAGAATTTAAGTGCTCTTTGTTAGGGTTATTTTGCATGTAAATCTCCAAAAGGCTGTCAATATCAAGTCCACATCAGAAAATGCTGTCTATTTTTAGGACCAAAGTAATAATTCATTTAATACCGTCACAATCCCAGTTGATTTCTGACTAAATCAAACCACATTTACCCACATTATCACTCACACAGAATGAAAAAGGACAAAACGACAAGTATTTTAGGAAGTATATTTATTTCATATTAGCAGTACAAAGATAAACATACTGATAAACAGATCTAAGGTGTACAAGCAAAAGCAATGGAATCGTTTTGGTTTAAGACAATCAGCTGCTTGTTAAAGAGCTCGGGGAAGTGAGGGAGAGCGCCCGAGTCCTTTAACAAGATTTGCCCTGGACTCAACACACTTCGTCAAGCTTATTATGGTTTAATGTGATTTTGCCATAAGCCTTGTTTTATTTTGAATGTTCGCTGACGTAAATGGCAGGAACAAACGGATTAAATCATTGAGAAGGTTGAAACAGCTCAGTAGAGAAAATAAAGTATATATATATATATATATATATATACACACATACACATACATGATGCTCTGCAAATCTCTTTAGATGATAAATGCTCTTCATCATATATTTTAAATGATACAAAATTATTCAGATTAACTAAATCGTGAAAAAAATCTACATTATTCATTCATAAAAACCATCAATCTGGGAAAACAAAATGACAGGCTTCTGACTCAGGCATATGCTCATCATAACGCTCGCTTCAGAGCTCTCTGCAAATCTCTTTAGATGATAAATGCTCTTCATCATATATTTTAAATGATACAAAATTCCATTATTCAGATTAACTAAATCGTGAAAAAAATCTACATTATTCATTCATAAAAACCATCAATCTGGGAAAACAAAATGACAGGCTTCTGACTCAGGCATATGCTCATCATAACGCTCGCTTCAGAGCTAAAAAAAAAACAAACAAACACTGAGGAAACATTGGAAACAGAACTTGCTCAAAACGCCAATCAAGCAAATGTAACCTTATTTTCTGCTGTCAATTTAACAAAACTTTGGCAGAGATCATGCACAGAGGCCTCAGGTGTAATGAAACCCTTTATAGTGGTTTAATTGCTTTTCATTTTACTCCCATGGTTTTATTGCTGCATCTGTCACACATTTTTTATTTTGTTAGATTATTTTTGTATCGAAAGAAGTGACAGATTCAAGAAAGTGCCCAAGACTGACCCATGCCAAGTGCCAAAGTGTCCTTTATGACAGAACGTACCCAAGTAAGAATGACATCACGAGTCCAAAAACTGTCACACAGCTATAAATAGGTCCAGAACTGGCAGCATCTGTGTAATAATCCACATCTGTCTCGTTGTGAACATGATCTCCTGAATGCTCACCACCATGTCCTTCGTGTCCGTGCCCATGCCCATACCCCGCACCGTAGCCTCCATATCCTCCATACCCATGCCCGTACCCATATCCAGGTCGGGCCATGGAGCTCAAGCCGTGTCCGACCAGCATTCCCCCTAGAGCTCCGGCGGCGGCCGCCCCTGCTACCTTCCCAGCACTGTGTCCCGAGGAGCCTCCAGTATGGACTGGTGGGGCACGGTAATGTCCACCGCCTCCTCCCCACCCCGTGCGACCAGAGCTGCTTCCGCCCCATCCTCCACCTCGGCCTCCCCCACGGCCAAAGCCCCCGCCCCGACGTGACTGGACCGCAGGAAACATCACAGTCAGAAGTAGCAGGCAGTTCATCAACATGATGATTTTATATTGGGAGAACATCCTGGAAGATGCTGTGAAAACACAAGATCAGAGGTTGACTGAATCCACGTGTACTGTGTAGTCTGGTAACAAAGGCTGTGCATGTAAACTCTCTGAAAGCAAAGAGCTAAACATAGCCCAAAAAACCAATCAGTCTTTGACTCATCGGTCCCAATGAGATCTGTCTGATTAATGGACACAGAGGACAAGGTGTTAGAAAGATAGAGATAGAGAAAGCCAATAATGTCAAGAAAGAGAAATTAGAGAGGTCTTATTTTATAAAATGTCTATAGGCTCTTATCTGAAAAAAGCAGCTATCTATCATGTATTCCTGTAAGAAAAAATAACCTTAAGGAAAAAAATAAATAATGCAAGATATATTCTGTAAAAATAGTTTTCAGAGGATATCGCTTTTTTTTTTTTTTAAGAACCCTGTTGGTTATTGGCTGTTTAAGCATACGTTTAATACATTCGAGAGACAATTTTGTTTTTAAAACAAGGGGAAGAAATAATTCAAGATATATCCTCTAAAAACATCTTTTAAGAGTCTTACCTCTTTTTAAGGATGTTTATATGTAATCTGTTTTCATAGTAAAAAAAACCTGCAATGTCCTTTGAGAAAAAAAATGACAAAGTCTTTCTTCAGAGGCCATAGAAATACAACCGTGCCCATGCAGTGACTAAATGTTTCCAGTATGACATCATCATCAGGGGCCGGTTGCATAAACTGCTTAGGTCTTAAAAAGTTAGCCATCTAATTAGTTTTCTTCTAGACTGGTCATAACTGTTTAAAGTCAGAAACGTGAGACTGATTAACTCTTGGCTAACTGCTAGTTGGTCAAACTAGTTCTTAAGACAGAATTTTAACATAGTGTTTCTGCAATTGGCCCCAGTATCTATATTTATACACATACACACTACCGGTCAAAAAATGTGGAATATTTAGGAATCTTTTATGTTTCTGAAAGTCTCTTTGCTCACAAAGACTGCATTTATTTGATGAAAAATAGAGTCATAACAGGAACATTGTGAAATACTATTACAATTTAACAGAACTTTTGGTAACACTTTACAATAAGGTTCCATTTGTTAACATTAGTTTAGTACATTAACAATGATAAATACTTTTTTACATTTATTAATCTTAGTTTTTAAGGATGTTTATATGTAATCTTTTTTCATAGTAAAAAAGTACAAAAACCTTCCCAGCATTTTAAAACCTTAAAAATGCCATCATTAAAATCAAAAGTTGTATCTATTAATACTGGTGAGCAAAAAAGATTTATTTCAAAAATATGAAAAAAATTCTTAATTATTCCAAAATTTGATTTGGTAAAATTTGGTGGTGTGTGTGTGTGTGTATGTATGTATAAAGTAATTTTAAAATGTGTATTTATTTATTTGGAAAAAAAAAAAAAACCTGACAAGGACATTAGGACAATTTTTTTCATTTGACTCATTTGCTGCTTGATGACAACGTAACACATAGATCTCTATGCATGTTATGATCTAGAGTAAGACAATGAATTGAGCAGTACATGATCTTTTCAGAAACGAGGCCGCCAGTCTGGCAGCTTTAGGAAAGTAATCTGGTAGTTCAGTGTCTGGTTATCTTTCAAGAATATTCTCACCCCTGCACAATTCAATCCAATGCAACACATAAAGGCGATGTTCATTTTAAAATCATTCAATTATGAGGTAACCTTTACCGCATGTTGACTATCACTCTAATTCATATTACATATAAAAGTATTAGTTCTGATGAACAGTAATGCAGCATTCAACACAGGAATATCCCACATTGCGTGGAATATTTAGGAATCTTTTATGTTTCTGAAAGTCTCTTTGCTCACAAAGACTGCATTTATTTGATGAAAAATAGAGTCATAACAGGAACATTGTGAAATACTATTACAATTTAACAGAACTTTTGGTAACACTTTACAGTAAGGTTCCATTTGTTAACATTAGTTTAGTACATTAACTAACAATGATAAATACTTTTTTACATTTATTAATCTTAGTTTTTAAGGATGTTTATATGTAATCTTTTTTCATAGTAAAAAAGTACAAAAACCTTCCCAGAATTTTAAAACCTTAAAAATGCCATCATTAAAATCAAAAGTTGTATCTATTAATACTGGTGAGCAAAAAATTTGATTTGGTAAAATTTGGTGGTGTGTGTGTGTGTGTATGTATAAAGTAATTTTAAAATGTGTATTTATTTATTTGGAAAACAAAAAAAAACAAAAAAAACCTGACAAGGACATTAGGACAATTTTTTTCATTTGACTCATTTGCTGCTTGATGACAACGTAACACATAGATCTCTATGCATGTTATGATCTAGAGTAAGACAATGAATTGAGCAGTACATGATCTTTTCAGAAACGAGGCCGCCAGTCTGGCAGCTTTAGGAAAGTAATCTGGTAGTTCAGTGTCTGGTTATCTTTCAAGAATATTCTCACCCCTGCACAATTCAATCCCAATGCAACACATAAAGGCAATGTTCATTTTAAAATCATTCAATTATGAGGTAACCTTTACCGCATGTTGACTATCACTCTAATTCATATTACATATAAAAGTATTAGTTCTGATGAACAGTAATGCAGCATTCAACACAGGAATATCACACATTGGTATGTAATTCTCCACTAAAATATGGTTAAAATGAAGAGGATGCACTGACTTACGTTGAACAGGTATCTGGATGAAATGTATTTTGGAAGGTTCAGGATGACCGTCCAAGTGTTGTCCTCCTCTCTTGTCTGCTGTGCTTGAATAGATGAGAGTACAAGACAGAACTCGCACAAGTACGCGTACACAGTGGCATTAACCGACTGCGGCTCATTCTGATTGGTTGAGTGAATGAACCTACGTCGGTCCGTCTCACCGGCATAGGATCAGAATATCGCTCTAATCCATCTACAGGATTAAGACGGTCTATGGATTTGGCAAACGTCTTTAGGCCCAGGGGTCATACTGTGGGGTCGGTCATGTGGTGATTGTATCTCTCCATGAGCTCAGAGATGGTGGTTAGGTAACCCTGAGATGACCTGCAGTCACATCATGTGGAAGACTGATAGTGCTGACATGCACGCAATGACTTTCTTTGCTGGTAGATTGTGCATGCTGAAAAAAATCTTGCTCAGTAAAAGAAAAACAATGGACCCTTTTACATATGTACTGTGGTTCTCAGAAGCAATTATATTGTTAGGTAAACATCTATAGTGGTGAATGGAATCAACAAAAATGTGTCAAAAGCAAAATATATGTGTTAAAGTATATATATATATATATATGCCTTGCTGAAAAAAAAAAATATATGTGTATATATATATATATATATATATATATATATATATATATATATAATATATATATATATAAACTTTGCTAGATTTATGATATTAATAACTGTGAAAAGGCATCATGGGGTCCAAAATATTAAACTTCAGTTAATGCATCCTTGCTAAATAACGGTATTCTTCAATTTCTTTATAATTTTTCTTTCAAAAATATATAAATCTTACTGACCTCAAACGGTAGTGTACTAATATATATATATATATATATGATATAATACTCTTTTTGTTGCATGTTTTAATAGTTAAACATATGCACACTGCCAATTAAACGATAGTAAATATCCTCAATAATCTTCCATATTATCACATCTCAACACTGTTAGACATGCTCAAATTCATACCAGTAACAGTGGTAAGTGCCACTTTAAGTGCAAATAAAACAGGTTTTCAAATTTTTTGATGATCATATTTTATTTAAATATAATTATCACCATATTGTCAGTTTTACAATCAGTATCATATAAACACATGCCAGAAGTATGACAACACAGAGGTCAGTCATAGGTGCGAGAGTCTAAATGTAAAAGCAAAATATGAAGCTCTCTTTTTCTTTCGTAACAACTACAGCCATGCTGTACTCTTCAGATACCCAAACATACTGACTTGCCCATTCAAACATCCCAAACAACATTCACATATTCATTCGCTACAATCCCTTGTGCTGCTTCACTCCGTTTTCAATCATCCTTTAAATTCACAGTCTTTTACTTTGCTTCTTACCATTCTGGTACAAAAAGATTTCTAATCGCGGTCTAAAAGAGACGTTGGACAAATGGAGTTGTAATCAGACTGTAATGGTACAACAGGTTGGCTCAGACCGCATATATTCTCAAAACATCCAACATGTAAAGTGATCAGTCAGCCATCACCCTTTTAATGGGTTAAACCAAACAAATAATACTAAAGTTGTAAGCATTTATCTCTGTTACTTTGTGCTTCTCATTATAATTGCTCTTTCCAGTTATCACTAGATGATGAAATTCCCTGGTTTAGTGGAATGTGCTTTTATATTATTGTACCTGCATGTGATTCCCTACAGCACCAACAAATGTAGAGAAAAATATAAAGAATTTTTATATAATAAGATGTACCATCCACTGGTCAGCAAATATCAATGCATCCTAATCATTTAGGACAGAAGGGGCTGCTAAAATTCTGTCTGGAAGTCCATTGATTGACATGAAGAAGGGCAAGTGCTCGTCACATACAGGTGGAGCCCTCTGGTGAACACTGGAGCTGCTTCTCAATGATACACCGCAGATACTTGTATCTATTCAGAAAGAGATGCATGGATAATTAAATCACAAAAAGTTCATTTAAAATAATTTTGACTGTCGCTTTTAATGCATCATTGCTTTGGAGGTCTCTTAAGGGGTCATATGATGTTGCTAAAAAGAACATTATTTTGTGTAATGAAATGTGTTTATGCTGTTTAAGGTTAAAAAAACATTATTTTCCACATACTGTACATTATTGTTTCTCCTCTATGCCCCGCCTTTCTGAAACGCGTCGATTTTTACAAAGCTCATCGGTCTGAAAAGCGAGGTGTGCTCTGATTGGCCAGCTATCCAGTGCGTTGTGATTGACTGAATACCTCAAGCGTGTGACGGAAATGTTACACCCCTTACCATACGAACACAACGAAACAGCGTCACACACCGCGGCCTTGAGTAAGCGGAGGAGGGCGTACTTGAGAATGGCACGGCCGGCGGATTCGACGAAGGAGCGTCCGGCAGACTTGCGGCAACCACATGTGACGACCCCGGGCTGGACTTCGCTTCGTCCACGGTGAAAGCCGATCTGGCGATTCACAGCGTGAAGATGATGTATTTCCTCAGCGACCAGCACGGGTCAGCTCTAGGCATGACGAAGTGGATATCGTCCTCTTTTGGAAGACCAAACAAAGTAGTTTCGCTTTCACAACTAAACACACAGCGCCTTCACGACATGGCTGCAGCGTCAACAATACTACAGTGAGAATAAAAGTTAAGCCTTCTTTCTTTGCGTGAACATTTGGGCGGCATCATGCAAATATTTCCACATCGTGATGTAGACATGTGGGGGCGTGTTAGAACGAGCCGTTTTAGGTAGGTGTGGTTGACTTAACTTTTATAAAGAATATCTCTTTGGATTTGAGACTTTAGTCTTTGCAACTTTACAGATCTTCTTAATGCACCAAGAGCTTGTAACACTCCAAAGAGAAAGGAAAAATTTAAATCGCATCATATGACCCCTTTAAAACAAGCAGCCTTGTCATAATTACAGCAAAAAAAGAAAAAACAGAAATAGCCTATTACAAAGGTCCTCTGAATAGGTTGAGGTTAAGAATCCCTGATATAGAGACATTACTATTTTATTAGTATGAAATTATGTAAAAAAAAAAAAAAAAAATCTGGACATTGTATATTAAGTTATTATAACTGGAAATTGAAGGCATATTTTCATTTTGTTACAAAGTACAGTACACAGCTGACTTTCCACTGCATTTACACATTTTACCTGCAAATGTCAGCAGATGTTGAAACAGAGAATCATGAAACTAAGTAATCTTTAAAGGGTTAGTTCACCCAAAATGAAATTCTGTCATTAATTACTCACCCTCGTGTTGTTCCAAACCCGTAAGACCTTCGTTCATCTTCGGAACACAATTTAAGATATTTTTGATGAAATCTGAGGGCTTCGAGTTACGAAGCTACGAGAATACTTTTTTGCGCAAAGAAAACAAAAATAACGACTTTATTCCACATTTTTGTCTCTACTGCGTCACTTTGGACACGCGTTCACGACATATCATGACGCGAGTGTGTGGCGGCGCTTCCTAACTTTACAGTTGAACCACTGATGTCACACGGACTACTTTGTTGATCATCTTGGTACTTTTCTGGACCTTGAACGTGGTAGTTACCTTGCTGTCTACTGGAGAGTCAGAGAGCCCTCAGATTTCATCAAAAATATCTTAAATTGTGTTCCGAAGTTGAACAAAGGTCTTACGGGTTTCGAACAACACGAGGGTGAGTAATTAATGACAGAATTTTAGTTTTTGGATGAACTAACCCTTTAACAGATTCAAAGCTTCAGAACCCACGATTTCTCCCGTCAGCTTATGTAAGTTGGATCATACCTGCTTCTCAGCTTCTGCACCTCCCTGTCCTCCTCTTCCTTCAGTTTGGTAATAAAACTCTGCAGGACAGGCATCTCAAATTTGATGTACTGCGCCACCTAGAGCAGTGGAGAGCAACTGGAGTTTCAGCATCACAACATGAACATAAACTTGAATTTCTAAGTAGATCAACCCTCCTTCACACACACTCACTTCATAGGGAATCTCCTCTCCCAGATCCTGCTCCATGAGAAAGATCTTGCAGACATGCTCACATGGTCCCTGAAGTATTCTCACTACTAACGGGTAGTCCATATGCTTCAGCTGAACACGTTCTGAAATATATAACATGTTTTGTACATATACAACTAGATTAGATACAATTTTCTGTAGAAAATGAAGAAATGTAAGCAGTATATAGGAGAGCAGAAAATGTAAGTGGTGACTGAGTATGCAAAACTGGCCAGCACCATGATACTAGTGTGTTGTGGGAAGTTGCCAAAGAGTTGCTCTCTGGTTGTTAAAATGTATGCATATGTGGTTGCATACTGGGACAAAAAATAAGGCTGATGTTAAAGTTGCCCACTTTAACATCAGCCAGGTACATTTTAATATCATTCATATCTGTAGCACAAACATCAAGTTTAATACTAAAACACTACTTATCAAATGTTTGGAATAATAACATTTTTAATGTTTTTGAAAGAAATCTTTTATGCTCACCAAAGTACGATTATTTAATCAAAAAGACAGTAAAACAGCAATATTGTAAAATATTAATACAATTTAAAATAACAGGTTTCTTTTTTTATGTAATTTAATCCTGTGTTGAAAACTGAGATACAGTTTTTCAGGATTCTTTGATAAATAAAACGTTCAAAAGAATAGCATCTATTTGAAATAGAATTTTTGAACACTATAAATGCATCCCTGCTGTATACATTTTTTTCATCTCACTTTTTTTTACTTACTTTTGAATTGTAGTGTATCAGGTTTCCACAAAAATATGAAATAAATAAATAAATAGAATAAGAAATATATTATAGTTATTTCATGTGACACTGAAGACTGGTGAAATGCCTACTTAAAATAAATTAAATAAATAAATTACATTTTCAAAAATATATTCAAATAGAAAGCTGCTATTTTAAATTGTAATAATATGTCTCAATATTACATACACAATTTTTTAACTTGCACCCTCGGTAGGCATAACACACTTCTTTCAAAAACATTTTAAAAAATCTTAATTATTCCAAACTTCTGGTAGCAGTATAATAGTTATTATTATTAGTGTATATTGATTTTAGCCTCCAATATCATATAATAGTCATGTTGTTCTCGGTCCACTAGATGGCGATTAAGTGTTCCACAGTCAAGTCATTTATTAACTGGACAATAAAAGCAGACAGCAGCTGACCTCCGCTGGCATGAACGAGATAGAGGGCGAACTCATCTGGGCTGTTCTCGATCTTAAACTTATTCAGTAACACCCGCAGCACCTGTGGTGTGGTCATACAGCTGTTGATCCGTGCGTTAGTTACAGAACCATATGCAGGAGTGAACACAGATGTCTGAATAAAAGAGAAAGAGGAACGAGAGATTGCAAGACTGAGATGACTGAACATATGCTCAAACAATCACACAAACACACTCACATCTGAATAAAAGAGAAAGAGGAACGAGAGATTGCAAGACTGAGATGACTGAACATATGCTCAAACAATCACACACACACACACACACACACAAGTGTTTCTTCTCAAGTTACCTTGTGGTTGTAGAAGTGACCGTTGATGGAAAATCTGTGCCTTCTGATTCGCCGCTGGTCGCTAGGAGACCGTCTCCTGCCCCGCCTCAGTACACCAGCATCACTTTTGGTTCTAAGAAGCTGAGCGGAGACGTCACACACCTCTGCCAGGAGAACAAAGCATGAGGAGGCAGAACAAGTCACAGTTTCACATAATGTATCTTTTTGAATGCAAGTTGTACCTTCTTCTTCTTCATGGTCATTTGTTGTGCCATTGCTTGATTGGTCCTCTGGGGGCGTCACTTTCATCTGAGGTGGAGTTTGAGGAGTCGGTTTCTGACCATCCTGACTGGAAAACAAGTAAAGAGGAACAGAATTCTTCCACAACATGAAATTCACAATCCACAAGGATCTTTGAGTGAACATTTTCCTGAACTTTTCACCCAAAAATGCACCTTATACACTTTTTTTTGCCTCCAATGCTCACAATGGCTGCATTATTTGACCAAAAAATACTAAAATATTATTATAATAATATTACATGATCTTTCAGAAATCATTCTAATATGCTGATTTGGTGCTCAAGAAACATTTCTGTTTATTAACAACAATGAAAAGGTTGTTGCTTAATATTTTTGCGGAAACCAATAAAAAATATTTCAGGATTTTTTGATAAAAAGTTAAAAAACCTAATATATATATATATATATAAATAAAACATTATAAATGTCTTTTCTGTCACTTTTGATCAGTTGAATGCCTTTCAAAAACCCAAATGCCAACAGATGTCATTTTAATTGGTTTAATAAAAAAAATGTCAGTCAAGCAACATTTAATCTTGCAACTTTTCATGCTGTAAGACACACACCTTATTTTCTGAGTAACATCAGCCCATATTCAGTACTGAAATCCTAGAATCGCCCTAATGAGTCTTATTATTTGTCCAAATGATGCCACAACAACCAAGTACATGTTTTTAAATGAATTCCATTCACAATCTTTCTGTCATGAATGTGAACACATACTGGACTCAAAATCAAATGATTCTGGGAACTGCTTGTTAAGATAACATAATCAATAACATTCTGGCCTGTAAGTGCTCAGTTTCTCAGCTCTTTCATTCTGTTTAGCGACCCCCAGTAGGTGCTGAAAACAATATTAGCATTGGAGCGCTCAGATATAAATAGTTCTTTTGAAGTCCCCATTTGGAACCACGAGGCAAAAATAGACAAGAAGTGATCAAAACCATAAAACATCAGAAATGGGTGAATTATTTATAACACGCACGTCCAAAACATTTCAGCTGATGGAATGCCAAAAGCATGGTCATCACAAGGATAGAGTTGTTATGGCAACAAACTCTCGGCTGCTATGATGTCAAGGTTACTCGAGTTTAAAGAACTAGGCTTATGAAAGAAATCTGGGTTTCTATGATGATGATAATGTTTGTATGCTACGGTTGATAAGATATACAATTCCATTTTGTTTAATAAAGTGATGTTTAATGGTTGGAAATTCTGTCCTGCAAAATAATCAGTATTTATCAGTCTTTTACACAACCTTTCAAAAGCTTGTGGTCATCAAGGTTTTTTTCTAAAGAAAGTAATAATTTTGTTTAGCAAGAACACATTTAATTGATCAAAAGTGACAGTAAAGTCATTTATGTTACAAAAGATTTCCATTTCACATAAATGTTTTTTTATTAGAAACCAAACTTTCGATTCATCAAAGAATCCTAAAAACAAAGTGCATCAAGGTTTCCACAAAATATTAAGCAGCACAACTGTTTTCAACATTGACAATAATCAGAAATGTTTCTTGATCCTCAAATCAGCATATTAGAATGATTACTGAAAGATCATGTGACACTGAAGACTGAAGTAATGGCTGCTGAAAATTCAGCTTTGCGTTAGAGACATAAATTCCATTTGAAAATACATTCAAAGAGAAAATAGTTATTTTAAATTGTAATAATATTTCACATTATTACTCTTTTTACTCTGTTTTATTTTTTAAACGCAGCCTTGATGAGCATACAAGACTTCTTTCAAAACTATTATCTTAACAAATCTCACCGACCTCAAAAGGTAGTGTATATTTACATATTAATCAGTCTTATTTTCCAGTAAAAAACATCCTGAAAACAAGGTATATTCATAAACTCTCAGTTTTCTTAGATTTGTGCTTTAATCAGACTTTCTTTCTCTTTTCATCAGTGTACAGTAGTTCCTCAATACAGCATGTATAGAAAGTTAACAAGCTCATTATATATATTTGTGTGTTTGCTTCATTGTCTGACCTCTGGTTGACTAGATTACACCCCGAGTGCCAGGAGGTAGAGGAGGGAGGAGGTCTGATTCGCTCATGGTCATCCTGCATCTGAAGCCTGATTGGTCGACGTAAACCCCATGAGATGTTGAGAAGTCCTTCTATGATCAGCTCCTCCTCTTCCTGCAGGCACAATACATACAGCATACATATATACTCATACTTGAGTTTGTTACCTGACAAAAAGAAGTGATGATACATAATGGACCCGAGTATTAGATTCAAATAACTTTTACTTTTAGAATAAATGAGGCTGATAAATGATAAATACAGCATATCTAAATCGGTCAGTAATTTGGCACAGCCAGAGCACCTGAGCACGCTGCATTTACAGACACAAAAGGAGCCCCGTGTTAACACCCCCACACACACATCCCCTCCAGTCACAGACAGTTATTACTCCCCAGACAATAGCAAATAATTGAGAAAGCACAGAAGGGGTCAACCGCTTCCCCACCTGCCACACAATGAGTATAAAACTCTTTCTCACCTCTCTGTGGCGCAGCTGCAGGTTCTTTCCGTCATAGTAGAGATTGTAGGTCTTTAAATGAGAGAGAATGCTGCTCCTAAGAAAGAACAAAGTTTGTTCAACAATTATTTTTAGATTTTAGTTTTATTCTATTTTTAAAAATGCATTTTAAAAGCTGTGATTTATTTGCTCATTAATTTATTTGTATATATATATATGTATGTACATTTAAGTTAATAATAATTATTATTATTATTATGACCCAAAGAAAATCATAACATTCTTAATATGTTATACTGAAATTGACCTGATTCACTACCATTCAAAAGTCTGGGGTCAGTAAGATATTTTTAAATGTTTTTGACAGAAGCTTCTTATGCTCACCAAGGCTGCATTTATATTCATTTATATATTGTGAAATATTATTACAATTTAAAATAACTGTTCTATTTGAATATATTTTAAAATGTAATTTATTCCTGTGATGGCAAAGCTGAATTTTCAGCAGACATTATTCCGGTTACATTTTTTAATGAATAAAATGATATATATATGGTATTTAAAGCTTGTGATTTTATCCATGTAGCTTGTCAATGTAAAGTCAGCCGGTCATGGTGACAGAATAAAGCTTTGATCATCCTGTCTAGGTATTATTTTGCTGTAATGACCATCTGACTGTACATTATCGCTTATTGTGCATTGTGAACAGATTATTACAGAACTGTCAGAGGTAAAACAGGACAATAAAAAGCACACATTTCTGTTGTTCAGATGTTTTAACATCCCAATCATGGGATGATTTTAACTCTCGTGAGTTTGGTATAAGATTTATACTCACTTGCTGATGAACTTATTCTCTCCAACCCGCACACCGTCATTCCTGTCATCCATTTTATCTTAGCCACGACTGCATGGAAGTACTCTAGAGAGACAGAGACAGAGGAACAGGGAGGAGAACAGAGAAAGAGAGAGATAACTTTTCTTGTTAACATCAAAGAATTAACTCTTCGGTATCTAGGTCAGAGCAAGAAGAGTGTAAGAGAATAACAAACTCTAAAACAAGCTAAGTAAAGTATGCATATCTCACACTCACTAGCTCGTGTATTTTTGATATCTCTTGACAAGAGACTGATGCTCTGTTCTATATCACACAAACCCATGTGATGCCGACATCTGCAAGTCACAGCTGAAAGTAAACTATTCATGAGGATGGGATCAGAATAGACATGGAGCACATACCGGAATGAATGAGAGGATTGAAACATTTAAAGACCCCATGAAATCAGTTCAAGTTTTGTGCCCTTTAGTCCATGTGTGTTAGCTTCGAATTCACCAACAACAATGGTTCTCAATTCCATTTTGTACAGTCGTGGCCAAAAGTTTTGGCAGTGACATAAATTTTGTGCTTTGCAAAGTTTGCTGCTTAAGCTGTTGTGGTGTTTATTCACATTGTTTCTAGATTATTGTGTAGAGTGATCAGATGCATTTGAAATAATTGCTAAAATCTTTATTGGCCAAAAAAAAAAGAACTTTTCACACAAAAAACAAAACAAATTTCACTGTTTTTTGATCCTGACGCAAAATAAGCAGCTAACATGAATTGACTGATCATATCAGCAGCACATGTGAAAGTGTGAATGAGTACTAATCTTGTGAAATCACTATCATACTAATTAGATTGTAAGAGCAGACTGATTACTATTAAAGGAGGGAAGAAGCGCTTCCAATCATTGTGTTCTTGTTAGCAATGGTTACCTCCAAAGACTGTTTGGGACATCTGGAAAATCGATTGTTCGGAGAAGGAAAGGTGAACGCTACCATGAGTCCTGTGCTGTGCCAACAGTGAAGTATCCTGAGACCATCCATGTGTGGGAATGCTTTTCAACCAAGGGAGTGGGCTCTCTCATAATTCTGCCCAAAAACACTGCCATGAATAAAGAATGGTATCAAAACGTCCTGCAAGAGCAACTTCTTCCAATGATCCATGAGCAATTTGGTGATGATCCGTGCATTTTCCAGCATGATGGAGCACCATGTCACAAAGCAAGAGTGATAAAGAAGTGGCTCGAAGATCATTACATTGAAATTTTTGATCCGTGGCCAGGCAACTCCCCGGATCTCCATCTGAACCTGTGGTCAGTCCTCAAAAGGCGAGTGGACAAGCAGAAGCCCACAAATTGTGATCAACTCTGAGAACTAATAAGGCAAGAATGGATCGCCATCAGTCAGAATTTGCCCCAAAAGCTAATATCCAGCATGCCAGAGCGAACTGCAGAGGTTAAGAAGAACAAGGGTCAACGCTGTAAATATTGACTCATTATATTTTTTTGCTAATAAAAGCCTGTAAAACGTATGATATGCTTATCATTGTTCTTCAGTATACCGTAGAAACATGTGGAAAAATAATCTACAAATTTAGCAAAACACAAAATTTGTCACTTCCAAAACTTTTGGCCACGATGTTCAGACGTTTGTTGTATTCGACCGGAAGTGCCCTGCGAAGTGGATATCACAGGATATTCCGCCATGATTCCAGTTTGAAGGGAGCGTATATGTTCCATTCAAAGGGCATTAAAGTGTGCGAGACATGAATTTAAATTGTATTTATTTACTGATGTATATTATATCAGACTTCTCTAGTAAGTTTCGTCTGTGTGTGAAGATGCTGCAGACAGTAGTGTAGCGCAAATCCGTGAATGAATGTTCCGAAGTGAAGTAAACTTCAACAGATTTCCCGTGTGCAGGAAGTAGGGAGCAATGAACACTGTGTAGGGACCATGTCAATCTGAACACAGTTCATGCGTGGAGACATGCAAAATATGCAGAGCAGTGGTACGCGAGGACTGGAATTGAGAACCACTTGCCTACCACGTTTCACATTCCCATTCAAAAAATTCACAAGTTCAAAAGTTTGTAATCAGTAAGATTTTATAAAAAATTTGTACTTTTATTCAGCAGTGACACACTATATTGATCAAAAGTAAAAAACTCTAACCCTAACCCTAAAAAAAAAGAATCCAAATGATTTCTATTTCAAATTAATGCTGCTCTTTTGAACTTTCTATATTTGAAAAAAGGCATCGTGTTTTCCACAAAAATGTTAATCAGCACAACTGTTTTCAACTTTGATGAACAGCAAATCAGCACATTAGAACGACTGCTGAAGGATCACGTGACACTGAAGACTGGAGTAATGGCTGCTCAAAACTCAAGTTTTTCCATCACAGGAATAAACTACACTAAACTAAACTACATAAAAAAAAAATTTTTTTAAATTCTTACCAACCCAAAACTTTGGAACAGTAGTGTATGCTAACGTACTTATCAAATTCCCTTTTAGAAAATATTTGCATTTAAATTTGATGTTTTTCTCTATTGATGAGTCATGTTGCACTACACAGTTTTTTGTCCAATCAAATGATATTTATAGAGAATGTCCCGCCTTCCCCCAACAGATATTTTAAATCTGATCAGACTTTTAACATTTAAACTGCTTATGACTGATGCTCCGTCATAATGATCAATATTTGTATGTTTTAGGAATGCCATTGATTGAAATACAATCATTGCTGTAGGATAATACAGTATTGTCCCTTGCGATTCATTACAGATGAAACCAGAGACGGAATACATTTTTAATGTGTAATTCATTCATAATCATTAGTTCCCCAACAACCAACCAATTAAAACACATTCAGAGTGATATTCAGTCTAAATCCTTTATCAGTGTGAATTGTTTAAAGTAAAAGTTTTACATTTTTCAATGCAGAACATGTAATGTGTCAATTTCAAAGATGAAAGAGTAATGACCGGCTCTAAAGCTCAATGGCTGACACATATACTCATGTTTGGAGGTTCCCCTGGCACAATACACACGGCTCTACTTAAGGCTTCCTTCCTCACCAGCTGGAAAGGCTTTACAGAAGCTTCCGGAGACAGGGACAGGGACAGGTGCAGGACAACAAGGGGACTGTTACCCCGCTTTTACAACTACTCGACATCTCTGACTGCTAGCTGTTGCTGTTTTATTGTATCTTATTCAAAGTATTCAGTATAAAACTGTCACGCCAACAAAACTAAAATGAATGGGTGTCAAACCACGTCTAACTTTAATAAAACAAGCTTTTTTAAAGATACTTTTTCACACTGAACATAATGTTAAAGGAAATGAAAGAGAGGAAATAGCAATGGCTATCTGCCTAGTATATGGTCTCACAACTTTGTGAACCAGTGTTAAAGGGATAATTCATCCAGAATGAAAATGCATCATATTGTTTCAAACATGTATGACTTTCTTTGTTTTGTGGAGCATAAAATAATATATTTTGAAGAATTTTGTCAATCAAACCATTTCGTTTCCCACTGAAAAAATACAATGGAAGGCAATGGGATCCGAACCAGTTCTAACATTCTTTAAAATATCTTTTGTGTGTGTGTGTGTGTGTGTACCACAGTAAAAAGAAATGCATACAAGTTTGGAACGACATGAGGGTGAGTAAATAATGAGAGAATGTTAATTTTTGGGTCATAATTCATCCAGAATGAAAATGCATCATATTGTTTCAAACATGTATGACTTTCTTTGTTTTGTGGAGCATAAAATAATATATTTTGAAGAATTTTGTCAATCAAACCATTTCGTTTCCCACTGAAAAAATACAATGGAAGGCAATGGGATCCGAACCAGTTCTAACATTCTTTAAAATATCTTTTGTATGTGTGTGTGTGTGTACCACAGTAAAAAGAAATGCATACAAGTTTGGAACGACATAAGGGTGAGTAAATAATGAGAGAATGTTCATTTTTGGGTCAAAAAATATCTTTAAATGCAGAAAACGGTCATTTGTCCTCAGTATTACATGATAAAATGATATACAAGTCACTTAAAATAACAACCTTCCTGCATTTTCGCCTCTTCATCTGAAATAAGACATTGATTTAAATCCTGACATTTTCAACAGAGCAAATAGTACTTCCCATTTACTGTCTCACAGGATTTCCTGAACTAGATATAAGAAGGTTTAACTGAACGCACATTACCTTCGTCTCTTTTGCAGCTGATCGTCTGGTGGTCTTTAAATGCTAAACCAGTGCTGAACCCATGTGACACGCAGCTTCGCTCTCCTAAACTCTTCCTCTCTGATATGCACAGCGGAAACTGACATGAGGCTTCAGACTTCCCCAATGGTGGTTTCACTGCCTCCTCCTCCTCCTCCTCCCTTTATCTCTCTGTGTCTGCCTCTCTCAAGTTCACCAATGTCTTTATGCACACTGACATTAATCATTATGAGCACTTTAGGAGAACTACTTAGTGTACGCATGTAACTCAAGAGTCCAACACACACACAAATACACACAGACAGAGCGCAGGTGTCCTACTGAGATCCCAAATGGAACCGGTAATGGCCTCATTCAGTCCCTGACAAAACACCTTCACAATTACACTTTCACAAGATCATTATCCCACGAGCAAACAACAGGGTGTCTCTCTTGTATGGGCATGTTTTTTATCAACATTACCATCTCCTGACCCAGAGCGTACAGTTAGCTGTAGTGATTAGAGCATATTTGTGTGTGTGTGTGTGTGTGTGGCCCCTGCCACATCTTTCATACACACCACTCACTGCACTCAATCAGGAGATGATGAAATATTCAATACCAAACCACCCAGAGCAGCTTATTCTGACATTAATATTTCATATCCCAAATATAGTCCTGCCAGAACTACAGAAGAGCTATTAGTCTCTGATACACATCCAAAAGTCATTGCCAGCTGATAATAGGCATCAGATGACAGGTGTTGTTTAGATTATGGATGCATGATATATTGGTGCCAATTCTGAATGTGAATATCCATTTTTCATACTTAGTTAGCATTTAACATGATTGATTTTGGTTTTTGATTATTGGTATATGTGTATCAGAATATATATGAATTTGCATGTACACTATCGTTTTAAATTTTGGGGTCAGTAGGATTTTTTTTTATTCAGCAAGGATGTATTAAAATGAACAAAAGTGACAGTAAAGACATTTATAATATTAAAAAGATTTCTATTTCAAATAAATGCTGTTCTTTGGAACGTTCTATTCATCAAAGAATCCTGATAAAAATGTATTAGGGTTTCCACAAAAATATTAAGCAGCAAAACTGTTCAAAAACAAATTCTTGTCAACACCAAAGTAGTGTACAGTTCTACACAAACTGGCCAAAAAGTCAATCCAAGACATGCTGAACAAGGAAAAGGGGAAGTCAAGAGAAAAAAACATTTCACAATCTTATCTGAACTTTTTCTTCCACTTTTAATCTCTTCTTTATTCAAGCTCTTCAGCTAAAACGTCGGTTAAAGAAAAAACCTCCAGTTTTCCATGCAACATGACCTTGCTTCAGTCTCTGCGATGCAAAAGCTACTTTTTCATGCTTTTCACTGGAACAGCCATCAGACTACTTCAGCACCACGTTTCAAGAGCCATGTACTTTTCCACGCTTACGCAACTGTGCACTCTAGCATTAAATGTGTCAGGGGAGTCTATGAAAAATGAATGCAAAAGAGCATGAGAACTATTTTTACACAGTCTTTTGGACTCATGTGACTATCCAATCTGCCAGTTCTCCAAATGATCAACTCTGCATCTACAAAAGTACCTAATTATGAATAATTACATGTTTTTCAAACACAGACAAGGTTGCTTGGCACTTGAGTTGTGCATGTTTCGGTGCTGGGAAGATTGTGGAAGTGGGACAGACAGGATGGAAGTGGTGGTTTATCCTGCTTCAGCATCCAAAACTGACCAGACTCGGTTGGTGGACATCTCTTTTTTGCATGTTTGCATGTTACTATTTAAGTAATAAATCCTAATTTAATAATAAAATAAAAAGTAATAACATCTAACTTCATGTTTGTTCATACTATTGTCTGCAATGACTTGAAACCAACCACGGCCACCGTTCCATCCCTTCTCTTCTCTCCCATGGCTTGGAAGTTCCCCCTTGGTGTCCAATTCCAAAGCAACCGCTCACTAACCTCGGTCTTTAAGATCCAGGCCAAGATCTCCGCTTGATGTTTACTGGCCTACATCCATTCCCCCTACCTCCCCCAACCAGCATCTTCTTAAAAAGCACTATAGCTCTGCTATTTTTTAAATTGCCACAGCAACCTGGAAAACACTTGTGAACCGACAACAAGCTTCGTCCAACCATGCTGAAAGTCACACGTCTGCTCTCTCTTCCTTTTCTTCTTCCTTCCCATCGTTCATGTGTTTAGCAGTTTGCACTGCCGCAGTTGTGTTTTCTGATGGCTGCTGCTGTTTCTGAAACCCTCAAGAGTTAAGAAGTATGACAAAGAAAACAAAACACAGCTATACTTCACAATCTGCTGCATGGAAAATGTGACGCCCACATCTGACTGAGATTCTAACTTGCAACTGAGACACTAAGGCTAGTCTGGTAACGAATAACTTACTTGGAACACCAAAAGAATCCACATTTATCAAAGCAAATGGTTTTTCGATGCAGTTGTTTAGTTTAGAGAAACTGTTTCAAGATGGAGAGAAGGAATCTCATTTTCCCCCCATGATTTTCCTCATGTTTGAGCTCTCTGAAGATGTTTCCCTGACTCACTCACACTCGAATGTGTCACAGGCACCGCCTGCAGTTGTGAGGATCACTCTTAAAAGTGATGGTTCACCCAAAAATGAAAATCATTTAGTCACTATCATGTCATTTTTTTGGTCCGTTTCTAACAAAGTTTTCATATGGCTCATGCAAGAATTGCATGATTTGTAGGCACCTAAAAGAATTCTTGTGGTTTTATACAACAATTAGTCCCGGTCCTCAAATCTGATTGGTCCAGCAGCGTTCCAGGAGTGCTGATATTTACAATAGTCCAACAGCAGAGGGACATTTCACTATTTGTCTCACTCTGCTTGTCTCTGTGACTCACAAAGGTTGATGCTTTGGCTTCTTTTAGAACTATTGTCACTGGCGACAAAGAAATATATGAAATAACTATCCAATTTCAGTCTGGATCACACCCACAATGGTGCTGCTGGTCTAAATATCAGCTGTGATTACCTGAGGCCAAATCACATATTATTCAGCCCTTCCTGGAAAGTCGAGGTCCATAATATTTTTTTTTATGTTTTTCATCAAGTTACTGTAAAAACAATAAAGGTCTGAAATAATATTACAGTTTAAAATAACAGTTTTCTATTGAACATATTTACAAAAACAAGACTGAGATTCTAACTTGCAACTGAGACACTAAGGCTAGTCTGGTAACGAATAACTTACTTGGAACACCAAAAGAATCCACATTTATCAAAGCAAATGGTTTTTCGATGCAGTTGTTTAGTTTAGAGAAACTGTTTCAAGATGGAGAGAAGGAATCTCATTTTCCCCCCATGATTTTCCTCATGTTTGAGCTCTCTGAAGATGTTTCCCTGACTCACTCACACTCGAATGTGTCACAGGCACCGCCTGCAGTTGTGAGGATCACTCTTAAAAGTGATGGTTCACCCAAAAATGAAAATCATTTAGTCACTATCATGTCATTTTTTTGGTCCGTTTCTAACAAAGTTTTCATATGGCTCATGCAAGAATTGCATGATTTGTAGGCACCTAAAAGAATTCTTGTGGTTTTATACAACAATTAGTCCCGGTCCTCAAATCTGATTGGTCCAGCAGCGTTCCAGGAGTGCTGATATTTACAATAGTCCAACAGCAGAGGGACATTTCACTATTTGTCTCACTCTGCTTGTCTCTGTGACTCACAAAGGTTGATGCTTTGGCTTCTTTTAGAACTATTGTCACTGGCGACAAAGAAATATATGAAATAACTATCCAATTTCAGTCTGGATCACACCCACAATGGTGCTGCTGGTCTAAATATCAGCTGTGATTACCTGAGGCCAAATCACATATTATTCAGCCCTTCCTGGAAAGTCGAGGTCCATAATATTTTTTTTATGTTTTTCATCAAGTTACTGTAAAAACAATAAAGGTCTGAAATAATATTACAGTTTAAAATAACAGTTTTCTATTTAACATATTTACAAAAACAAGGCATTCCTCGATTTTCAGCAGCCATTAATCTTTAGTATCACGTGATCCTTCAGAAATCATTCTAATATGATTTACTGCTCAGCTAATGGTGAAATAATTGTGCTGCTTAATTTAAAGAAAGTGTGAAAACTGGTTGATGAACAGAAAAGAATCTTTTGTAACATTATAAACTGTCACTTTTGATCAATTGAATGTGTCCGTGATGAACAAAAGTCTGTTAATATGCTTTCATCGTACAGAAAAATGCAGCATGAACTTCTTTTGAGTTCCACAGAAGAAAGAAAGTCATACTGGTTTGGATGGAACAACATGTGCATAAGTGAACCGTAAGAGAACTTACATTTTTTTTGGAGAACTATTCTGGATAAACCAGACTGGTTATGCAATCTGGCCAAATATAACGCCAGGCCCATAGTTACTTTCCCATTGCAAACACAGATAGCTATCTCACAGGGGACATAAACAACTCTAAATGTTAAACACTGCAGCATATTCTTCTCTTGTCGAGAGTCTACAGATGCTATTGTAATCTGAAGCCTGAATATTATATTACATTTCCAGTAAGACATTCTCAATAAATTGCAATACACAACTGATCATATTACACATTATGATACAAAGTTGCAAACACATACCAGCATAAAACAGCCACGGGCACATCAGCATCCAAGTCTGAACAAGTCGTGAGTAACAACCCACATGAATGAAAGCATGCACACAAACACCCACCCCCCTCTCGTAGATCTCTGCTCTCCAGATGCCCGATGTCACGATGCCCGTCGCTCAGATCAGATTCGGAAGGGGTTTGAATCTTATCTGTGCTTTTAAGCCTGCAGACGGCACTAAACTGAACGAACCTACCATCCGCGACGCTATGGACCGATCCAAGGCTTTCCCCACTCCAACTCAAACCGAGCTTCTGTGCTCGCATCGGGAACAATCGCAGTTTGAGGAGGAGGAATACCCCATCTGCTGTTCCAGACCTCAGAGAGCGCAGCAGCCAATCAGCGCGCCCGCGGACGCCGCTTTGTTCGCGCTGCTCCTTTAGCGCTGGACACTGGACACTGGACACTGGACACTGGACACTGGACAGCATGTGCGTTCAGCCGGGAATCCCCAAAACAATAGCGCGCGGACGCTGCAGAGGAGAAGAAGGATCTGATAAAGCAGTGTCTCCCGTTTAATCCCCATCGGTAACATTTGTGACTAAAATGTACAAAAAGACACAAACAACTCTAAAAGAGTTTGTCTCTCTGAAAGATGATGATAATGTACAACTACACAAAAGCCTTAGTACATATTTGGTACACATAATATTGTCATAATACTATTATTATATGGATAAGAGCTCTTAAACTATTAAATTGTTCTGTGTTATTAAAATCGTCAGACTTTTACACGGTAACATTTTATAATGTCTTATTTGTTAACGTTAGTAAATGCGAACATGACCTAACAATGAGCAATATTCTTATAGCATTTATTAACCTTATGATTATGTGCACGGTCGGTGCATGATAACTCTTGATCTTAAAAAAATGCATTAGTAAAGCATAAGATTAACATTAATTATGTGCTGTAAAAGGTGTTAATTGTTCATGTACCAAATTTAGTTAACTGTTGTTAACAAATGAAACCTTATTGTAAAGTGTTACCATTTTAACATGTCTAGTTGACAAGAAAAACACATTTTGAATGTTATAAAATTGTAAAAATAAGCCTGGTTACATTAAATCTGAGATACTTTATTATATGGATAAGAGCTCTTAAACTATTAAATTGTTCTGTGTTATTAAAATCGTCAGACTTTTACACGGTAACATTTTATAATGTCTTATTTGTTAACGTTAGTAAATGCGAACATGACCTAACAATGAGCAATATTCTTATAGCATTTATTAACCTTATGATTATGTGCACGGTCGGTGCATGATAACTCTTGATCTTAAAAAAATGCATTAGTAAAGCATAAGATTAACATTAATTATGTGCTGTAAAAGGTGTTAATTGTTCATGTACCAAATTTAGTTAACTGTTGTTAACAAATGAAACCTTATTGTAAAGTGTTACCATTTTAACATGTCTAGTTGACAAGAAAAACACATTTTGAATGAGAGAGCTTCACGTTATAAAATTGTAAAAATAAGCCTGGTTACATTAAATCTGAGATACTGTGTGTGTGTGTGTGATATATGTGTGTGTGTGTGTGTGCATAGGCCTGTATATATATATATATATATATATGTGTGTGTGTGTGTGTGCATAGGCCTGTATATATATATATATATATATATGTGTGTGTGTGTGTGAATACTTTCCGTACCCACTGTATATATATATATATGTGTGTGTGTGTGTGCATAGGCCTGTATATATATATATATATATATATGTGTGTGTGTGTGTGTGTGTGCATAGGCCTGTGTATATATATATATATATGTGTGTGTGTGTGTGTGTGCATAGGCCTGTGTATATATATATATATGGCTGTTCAATGAGTAAAAACACATTTGTTCACTCACTGAAAATTTGGCATCAAATGGGTAAGTGACACTGAAGGTGAGGATTAGATCATGGGTTGTCACGGGTCAGAAAATGAGCAAATCTGAGCTGGGAGTGACTGATATCCTTTAATCTCTTGTAATCTGGTAGGCTACCAGCTATGATCGACCCATCTGTCCAGAGCACAATTAAAGGGTTCATACAGCCTAAAAAGCAGTAAAAGAGTTTAGGGAGCTCAAGATTAAGAAGAACTAAAACTAGTGAAGTAAAAAGTACAACATACTTTGTTCATTTTGTAACATTTTTATTTTTATTATTTTTAGTGATAGAGATTTGTCTTGTAGACATCTTCACCATGAGATACGTCTTGTAGGTCTATCATTCATCATATCATTTGATAAATAAGCAGTGCTTCCTCTATTAATAATGTAGACCCCACCATTCAAAATGGGACCACAAAGAATTGACCTGCTGTTGACAGCATCTCTTCACTTTCTTCTCTCTGCATCCCCTATGACTGCATCTATTAACTGAGTCTGGTTGAGTTGTGTGCGCTTAATCATGTTAACTCAGATGGTTACGGTCCAAACACGCGCACACACACACACACACACACACACACGCGCACGCACCCACAGGGTTGATGGGAGAGAAGCAGAGGTGAAGAACAGATATGTGTAACCTGATATACTTGATGAGTTGTCCAGATCAGATAGAAAAGAGACCAATATTTTATTGTCACCTTGCATAGAAACTAGACTATAATTCAGAAAGTATTTTTGTTCACTTGAAAATGCGAAAGGATGCAGGAATAGACAATGTAATTTGATTTGTTTGAATAATCATTAAAATAATTATTCAAAAAATGTTATTTATTATTTATAATAATAAGTTATAATTATTATATTATAATATTTCCTTTTTAAATACCTGATATATACTGTTTAATTGGGGGAACTTAGATACACACACAAACACACACATACAAAAAGACAAAAGACATTATGTTTTGCTCAGAAACATCTTATTAAATATCTTTTGGGACATGGAACAAAACAATTTCTGCTGTTTCTACTTACAGGAGCTGCAATGGCTGGTCCAAGAATATAGCACATTCTGCCCTCAATATATATATTCATACATTTATAATAGTTTCAATGCATTGCACCTCTATCTATTTTTTTGTACTACTTTTAACATGAACAGGAAGTAATGTTAGAAAAATACAATATGAAAACAGTCTAGTTAACAAAAATATTCAATCAAACTGCAGATTAAAAAAAAAAAAAAAGACAGCAAAAAAGAGAATTTGTTTTACTCAAATAAAAATGTAACAAATTGGTGCGCTTTGCAGCATGATGATTTAAGAGAAGCATTTTTTCCCAACATCTTGTCTGTAAAAACACAAAATGATGTGTAAAAAAAAACAATAAAACCTATTACAATTCAGAGAAACTAAGTATATCCTTCAGATATATCCCCTTCAAAATAACTGAAGGGTTGTTTTTCTTTGAATCACATGCCACCATGTTATCAAGACCCATCACAAACTTTACATCTCAGCGGATACTGAAATTTAGCACAAGAGCGTGTATTTCCAAAATGTTCTCATATCAAAAACTATATTTAGCATCAATAAATCAACTTTTGCTATTTTTTTCCCCCAGTAACCCCCATCACTTGACAAATATTTATGCATGTCACTGCCATAGAAACCTTCATGACTGACAGACAATTAAACACCACAGGATGTGAAAGGTCTTCATAAGTTTCAGATAGCATTTCAACAAACTATTTAAGGATAAAAGTTTAAGGAGGTGAGGACTGACACCACTGCAAGCACTATCGGTGTGAATGGGAGAAGATTTAGTGGCAAACTGCACACTTTCTCAGTTGCATTTACTTTGGATTCTTAGACGATCATTATACCACACTTTAGAGTGCTGAATGTTTTACAATAAGATTATTTTAAGAACACAAAGTGTTATAGTAATGAATTCTTTACGACATAATTTGTGTTTTGACACTCAGTTATTATAGATCTTATTCTACTCAATTACTGCAGCACACTTTTCCAAGTGTTGATGAAGCAGTAAGTAAATTAGTATTGCCTTGTATACACAACTCAGATCTGGCTTTTAGGTCCCAAACACTGTCACTTAAACATTCTCAAACACATTAAAAACACTCTGCCATGTGTACTTTCCTGCTATAATGCACAGAAGTTTTTTTTTTTTTTAATGTGTAAATAAGGCTGAAAACAAAGTAACAGTTGTAACATTGTGTTACCAAGTGAAATGGTCCTTGCATAATTAGGGTTTTCGGTTAAAGACTAATACAACACAAATCCAGCAAACCAACATCAAGCTGTATTACAGGTCAGCTAGAAAGAGAAAAAAAAAACATCTCAAACATGTTAGTTGGAATGACTCACCGAGGAAGCACCAGTTATGTTGTAAATGTCAAGACTGTGGTAATATAAAACTGCAATTTCTCAGCTGCAACACACACCACACACACACCTTCAGCATTTCAAATCAAACCTTAGAGTGGAGAGCTGCATCTCCCATTTCCTGCTTACAGGCAGCAAAGGATAGTAGATATAGTACATATAAATAAATAAATTACAAGTCAACAAAAGACACTCTGAATCTGAAGTGGATACACTATGAGCCTCAAATAAAGATACAACCATCAGATGGAGCTCTAAGTGAGATTATCACAGAGGTTAAAGCACAACTGCACACGATTAAATCAAGAGGGCCACTGAAGTCACCATTCCATGACATTAGAGTGTCCAATAGTCAAATATTGGTTTCAATGCTATAACAAAAACGGAAAAAAATGCTTTGTATTGTACATGTTGTTACTGTACAGATCATAAAATGTCTGTAAAGATGAGACATGTCAACTTATAGTTACAACTAAATACTAAGGATTAGAAATTGATTGTGATAATACAGTATAATAGGATTTGTACAGTTGGAGAACCTGTCAATAAATGCCCACTAAATGCCGCCCACCCTCTCTGTGTTCAAAAACAAACCCCATCTGCAGTGCTTGTGGGAATCTACACTATAAACCACATTCACTTGAACAGCAGTGAGGAGGTGTCACCTATATCAAACAATAGACAGACCAAAAATGTGGCGCCCAAAGGAGGGCTCAATCGATTTTGACCAAAAGAAAATGTTTCCCCACGTCTTTCAATGGGACTGCCTGAGTGCAACAATTCTCAAGTTTTTCCCTTCCAGTCTTCCTTCTTTTGCAAACCATGCACTGATAGTACATTCGTTTTTCGTATAATTTTACCTACTGCATAAGCTATCTGCCTCCAAAATGTGCAATCACTACAATTTCAAGGTGGCAAATAACAGTATTTAATAAGAAACACCCCTTTCGATATGAGCTTTTAAATCGAAATAGCAGCTAACTAATGATTTGGAAGCAAGACTCTAGAAGTTAAATTAGGAACAAGCAAACTACATTTTGTGCGTTAATTCAAGCAATGCAATTCAGCCATTAAGCACAATAACCTTGCATCAC